GCCACATAGAGCAGTTGTGAGTTGAACTTGATCATAACATAACCTGATAGTTATTAGTATTAATAGTTTTAGTGAAATATTTGTGTATTCCCTGCTTTCCTTTTATTCACTGTATTCCCTGTATTTCTTGTATTTTTTTGTAATTCATGTATTCCCTATATTCCTAGTATTCCCTGTATTCCTTGTATTTCCTGTAATTCCTGTATTTCCTATCTTCCCTGTGTCCCTTTATTTCCTGTATTTCCAGTATTCCCTGTATTCCCTGTATTCCCTGCATTCCCTGCATTCCTTGTATTCCCTTTAATTCCTGTATTTCCAGTATTCCCTGTTTTTTCCCTGTATTCCCTGTATTACCCTGTATTTCCTGTACCCCCTGTGTTCTCTGTATTCTCTGTATTATTTGTATTCATTGTATTATTTGTATTCATTGTATTCCATGTATTCCCTGTATGCCATGTAATAAATAATTGGTCAAAAAACTAGTTGCTAAAATAAAAAATGCTTGAGAACTATTTACACAGGGAATAAAGGGAATACAACAAGAAATACAGGGAATAAAGGGAATTAGCATGCTTTGTATTATATGTATTCCCTGTAATATATAATTGGACAAAAATCTAGTTTCTAAAGTAAAAATGCTGGATTATTCTAAGAACCATGTATTTTGACACACATACCAGTAAGAACTATCTACTTCTACACACTTTACTTAAGAACCGGCCATTTATTCATACACACCTACAAGTGTTTTATGAACTGCCTGTCTGTACACACGTCATTAAGAATTGTTTAGCTGAAAATGCATACCAGTAAGAACTATTTAATTCATAGAGTAATAAAACGAAGAGGTGAAGCTTAGCTTAGATGTACACAACCAACCTCTCTATTTATTAATTAATAGATTGGTCGGTTGTGTACATCACGATATGTTTACGTATCTAGTGCGGTACACTTGTATATAGAGCGATCGTATTTCTAAGGGGGATTTTATGGAATTGACCAATTTTTAGATTTTCCTTCTTTATTTAAAGAGAATTCGAGGATAATGACTGCAAACATTTGACAATTTTCAAATTATAGGGTTTCAATTTGTTAGCAAAACGTTCCGTCAAAAATATTAAGTTTCTAGGGCATGAATTTAACTGAAAACGTTCTTATTTCAAACATTTTTTATTGTTTCTTCTCTTCAACTCTTTATCATAAACATGATAGTGTATGCAGGGTTACCCACAAAGATGAAACAACGATGACGACCTGGAGCTCCTAACCCTAAACAGGCGGGGGGGGGGGGACTTTGGCTCCCCCCTCTAGTTTTTTGACTTTTCATAAATAGAAATTTAAAGGATTTTTTGGTAATTTTTTTTTATGCCTAAGGTAGGGTGCAGGGCGATAAAAAAACCCGAGTATGTAAAAAAAATGTTAAATAGCCCATAACTTTTTTATGACTATAGCTATAGATCTGAAAACTATAGTTTTGAAAAGCCCTTGAAAATTGGGTGTAGAAACGTGTGTCACGCTTTGATATTTGTTTTAAACAAAACATTATTTTTTACATTTTTTCGACCTTTTTTAGCATTTTTTTACCCTCTCTAGCACTATACAAGTAATCGATTTTATTTCAATGAGCTGGCCTTGAAAAATTTGGACATGCATTTAAACCCTATACCTATTCACTAAAGCCTTTTTCTTTACATAGATTCAGACCCCCAGCCTTTATAGGGTTAACCATAAACAACAATCTAAAAGTTGAATTTAGTATAAAATTCATGGAGGGGTAGGGGGGGGAGAGACAGAGGAGTACTTGAGACAAGGATATCTTTTTTAACTTTAACGTTTTTTACTTTTCAGTTTTTTATTTTTCTGTATCCCTGTATGCCAGTATCTCTGTATCCTTGTATCCCTGTATCACTGTATCCCTGTATTCCTGTATCCGTGTATCCCTGTATCCCTATCTAGCACAAACTCTTATTTTCTAACCCCTTAATCTTTGAAACCTGATTTTTAAACAGCAATGCTGGATCTTGTTCTTGTTGGTTGCAAAGCTTTATCTTTGAAACCTGATTGTAAAAACAATCAAATTTAAATAATTAAAAAATTTAAATTTAAATAATTTTAGAGGAATAATGGACGACCCCGATTTGTGTAAATTTAGAGACGAGGTATCTGGGTATTACCTGGAGCTGTATTCAAGCATTCCTACCAAGATATGTGGATCATGCTGCTAATCGATGTAACATGATGACCCTTGATGAATGTGATAAACTCTTAAGATTACTGGGACGAAATTCCCTTCTGAGCTCCAAATTGAATTCTCATGGAATTATCAATCTAGACGAGGACAGTCCATTATTTGTGGAAGAACTTGATTGGGCTCTAAAGTTGATGCGGTAACAAGCTTTATTCTTAACTCTTAAAACTGTATATCTCTAAAATGTTATCTCCTGTAAAAATTCTGAATTCAGCTACACCAGCCTCACTGGAGTGCCATGCAACGATGTTGGTCAAACCAGAAATAATAGAAATTGGGACAAGTTTTTATACTCCTACATCACCAACTTTGATTCTATTAGGATTTTCACCCTCGTGGAAGAAGAAATCCACAAGTACGTCAGCTTAGAAGAATTTTCCGTAAAGTTTAGGGCTTCCCTGTATAGCTTGACAAGATATAGGGAGCATCTGATGTATTGGCCACATAGAGCTAGGAATACAGCATCAGTCTTGAAGATGAAGAACCTGTCTGATGAAAAGAAGCAGAAAACTGCCACTCCCAAGCGGAAAAGAAATGATAGTTCTAAGAAGCAGACAACTGTCACTGCCAAGCGGAACCATAAAGCTAGGAATACAGCATCAGTCTTGAAGATGAAGAACCTGTCTGATGAAAAGAAGCAGACAACTGCCACTCCCAAGCGGAAAAGAAATGATAGTTCTGAGAAGCAGACAACTGTCACTGCCAAGCGGAAAAGAAATGATAGTTCTGAGAAGCAGACAACTGTCACTATCAAGCGGAAAAGAAATGATAGTTCTGAGAAGCAGACAACTGTCACTGCCAAGCGGAACCATAAAGCTAGGAATACAGCATCAGTCTTGAAGATGAAGAACCTGTCTGTTAATTCTTCTATTGATAAACAGGTGATAACATTATAAATTGATTTTGATCATAATAATTAATTAATGTATAGATAAATATATTTTATGATAAGTTTAACCCAGTACATCTTGTTTTCTTAGGATGAAGAACAACTTGAGCTTGAGAAGGAGAAGGATGTTAATTCTTCTATTGATAAACAGGTGATAACATTATAAATTGATTTTGATCATATCAATTAATTAATGTATAGATACATATATAGATAGATAGATAGATAGATATATCACACTGTACAATGTAATAGATAGATAGATAGATTACTAGATATGATAAATAGACATAGATATATAACATTGTATTTTTTTAAATACTGATTAGAATGCTGAGAAACAACAAATCTTCTGGAAGAAAAAGTTTCTACTGAAGAATAATCCTAGGCCTTCAGAATCTGAGGTAAAGATAAAGATGAAAAAGTATTAAGAGATAAAAATATTAAGATATAGATATTCCAATAACATAGATACCTAGCAAATGGTTGAGAGTGATATCTTTAGTTATCTAACAAGACATTAAAGAGGAGGGGGAGGATATGGGGGGGGGTCATCAGTAGCTAGTAAGGGGGAAATAAGTGTGCGCGAAGATAGCTAGGTAGGTATATTTATAGATAGATAGATAGAAAAACAGATATACAGATTATATTTCTTAATCAATAAATTTAATGTAAGTTTCTATAAATTCTTGTACTGTCATAGACATCTGACCCTGATCCCGGGATGTCTGTTGAGCAACCTGTATGATGATCTTTCGTAGGTAAGTGATTTTAAAAATAATTTTAGAATCAAAAAATATGTGTATATGTTTATATGGATTTTATTTTTAAACTTACAGTAGAAAATAGTCCAGTAGTACATAGCACAGTAGGATTTTTATATTATAATATATAATATATGATCATTTCCTTTTTATATTTATATTCATCCATACCTTTTTTTTGTGACTAAAGCTACAGATCAAAAACCATAATTTTCTATTAACTGCCCCCCCCCCTCCCTCCACTATCAGCCTTCCTTCCCCCCTCTTTCCTTTCTCCTTCTTTTCTTCTTCCTTTCTCCTTCACTTCCCTTCCCTTATCATTTCCCTATTTTACCCCACATCCCTCCCTCCTTGCTTACTCCTTTACTTCCCATCCCTTATCATTTCCCCTTTATTCCCCCCTCTCCTGGCTACTTCTTTATGTTTACCCCCTATCCCTTCACTATCAGCCTTTCTTCCCTAACTCTTTCCTTTCTCATTCCTTTCTCCTTTACCTCCCTTCCCTTATCATTCCCCCATTTTGTCCTCCCACTCTCTCCTTCTTTATTTCTGAGCCCCTCCTTATTTACTTCTAACCCATCTCCCCCAAATTCCCTCCACTGTCAGTCTTCCTTTCCTTCCCCTTTCCTTTCTCCTTACTTTCCAGTTTTTTGCAAATTCCTTAATTTCAGTAGCTTTGATCAATTTAACAAGTTTTATCTTTAAAATTACAGTAATTTCTAAACTTTTGATTTAATTTGAAATACTAGCCTTAGAGGGCGCTTCGCGCCCATCTTCTAAATTAATTGTGAACATGTTCTTTTTGTGTACATCGTAAAACAAAACAAAAATAATTCGCGGATTTTCACAAAAAATTTCGTGGATTTTCAAAATTTTAAAAAATTTAATGAAGATCGAATTTTGATGGAGACAAATATTTGAAATTTTGATCATTCATAAACCATCCCTGGGGTCCCTAGATGTCCCACAAAAAATTTGGGCCTGATAGGTTCAGCCGTTTTGACGTTTATTGGATACAAACAGACAGACAAACAGACAGACAAGCCAAATTTATATTTAGATTTATATCTAAATCTATATCTTTATGAATATGAATTTTTTTTAAATGCATGAAAAACAATTCATAAATAAATAAGATTTTTTTTTAAGGATATGGACTGAGAAACCCAGAAGCAAGATCATCCTGAAAACTTAAATCAATAGTTTGATATTTAAAATTACTTTTTTTTAAAATAATAACTACAGGAGGGGTGTTAAACGCCCCCCCTTGTTTAGGGTTTAATTTGTATATGTTTAACAACATATTTTAAAAAATCACCTCTTGTTCGCCTTCTTGCACAGAAGAGGAGACCATATCTTCCCTCTTATCTTTAAGTGTTTCATCATGTGGGCTTTGGTAATTTGGTGACTCAGGAATCATTTCATCATCAGAACTATCATTTCTTTTCTGCTTCTGAAGTGTATTGTCTGAATCCTCTCCTCTTTTCCGCTTGGCAGTGACAGTTGTCTGCTTCTCAGAACTATCATTTCTTTTCCGCTTGGGAGTGGCAGTTTTCTGCTTCTTTTCATCAGACAGGTTCTTCATCTTCAAGACTGATGCTGTATTCCTAGATTTTTTTTCAAAATCTTTTCTTTTATCACGGGCAACACCAGGTTCTTCAGTTAGTTCTCACTATATACGTTAGATTTTTGTTTACAATTGGACTGTAATCCTTATTTTAAGTTTAATTAATAGATTGTCTGATTCTCACAGCTTAATTGTCTTCATCAAGAATGATTTAGAAATTATTAGAATTAAAAACTTATCAGCCAAAAAATAGACGTGTTTATTAACAATCAAAATAAGGGTTCAAGGGTACCGTGGTGAATTGAGAAATTACGACGCAGGTCCATTTAACTCATGTTTTTTAGACATCCATATTTTTTACCATTGATACTTTTGCATTCGATCAATATTGAATGTTATAAAACATATAAACATGTTTTAAATTAAATCAATTAATTTTGCAGCTGCCTGAGGTTCATGATAATATTTATTTATTAATAGAGATATGTATCCGTTTCTTTAATTCTTACATGTTTTTAAATCTAATGAAACCAAAATATTTTGAGAGGTTCAATGATAACTTTTACTGTTTATTTAATCATAATACATATTTATAGAATATACTTGTTGAGAAATACTGAATCAGGAAAGGAGCCGGAGGCTACCTTCAAGGTGCCAAGCGCTGTACTCTCGACGACTATCTGGCTGCTACAAACAATTTGTTAGATAGCTGATAACAGTGCATCAACTATAACTATATTTAAGTAGAAAGAGGAAGAATTAAATCAAGAATTAGCAAATCATAAAAAAATCACAGAGTCAATCGATAATACTGTTAAAATTTGTCACATTAATTTTGGCACTGCCAGTGAAGAGGTTTGTGCTTTTTATGCATATAATGTTTATCAAATAAGATTATTAATATATTTCAAAATACTCGAATTCTCCAATTTTGACGATATTGATATAGAACGATCATTTAGTTTCTGAATGGACATTCTGGCCCTCAGGAATATCACAAAGACTAAGTTGTCCTTGAAAAATACGAGTATTGATGTGAATTATGAAAAAGATGAACAATCTCTTTAAAGGGACTGTAAGCGTAATTTAAAGTGATATTACTGTTTTAGTTTCTTTGTTTATTTTCATTTGAGTGTTTTCTGCGAAAGTGACTTGCACGTTTCTTTTTTATAAGAAGCATTGGAGAAACTCACAGAAGTAAACACTTTTCAAGAAAAACGACAATATCTTCCAAATGTTTGATCAGATTAAGGGTTTAAGGCTACCGTTGTAAATCTGGCATTGCCATCTTTTCCTCGAGAGTCACTTGAAATTACAATTACAGTCTCTTTAATAATTCATTAATTAGCAGCTGTATAGTTTAGCAGAAAGAATAATAGTGGCAGCTTGGCTTGACGAACCCTCCAAAGGCCATTCCATTCTTGTAAACTGTCTGTCTGGTAATCTAGAACATACAAAACTAATTAAAACATATATATATATATACTTTGCTTGTATGTTTTTTTTCATTGAAGTGCGTTATAAAAGTTAGGAATGCAGGAGCTGACTCAGTAATATGACAGAAGCAAGATTTAAAAACCAACAAGAAATAATATAGATACAGGGCTCCAAAAAATATTTCTGCCTCTGCAATTTGGCTAGCTGCAGAAAACATCGAAAAAATTCATTTATTTTTATTTTCAAAATTAGCCAAAGTATGATTGAAGAATATGGACAAGGAATGGACGATCAAGAAGAAAGAATGAAAAACAAGAAATATAGAAGTCTCAAAATGCTTCATCTGATATCATATTGAAATTTAAAAATATTGTAAAATTTAATTAGAATAAATTATTAAAGTTAAAAAATACTTTGCTTGTATGTCTTGGTGTCTGCCTGTTTGTTTGTATCCAATAAACGCCAAAACCGATCGAACAAAAAATGTTTGAAGAAACTCACATGACGGTACTCCATTTGAATGAGAAATATTTGTCTAATATACGATTACCGCGTATACAATAACCTAATCTTAATATTTCTTATACAAATGGAGTACCGTCTGCTAAGCATTTCTAATCATATGGTAGGGTGGGCTGCGTCAGTTATAGTTCCTTTCTATTTCATACTCCTTGCCCTAGGCCTAGGGAAGGCTTATTATGGATAATCAGAAATTTAAAACTTTGGCCTAAATTCGATTTTTCAAAATCCACGAAAAAAATTGATAAATGCGCAATAATTAAATGTTAAAATCAAAGATCGCTTTAAGCCTAGTTCAATAAATAGGAATACATTGACATAATTTTAAAGTAGTTTTCTAAGCCTATTCATGTTTCTTTATGATCAATTGTCACAGATGTAATGACAACATTGGTTAACGATTCCAAGGTTAAATTAATTCTTCTCCCATGAATATAGAATTTGAATGTCTTATTAAATGATTTGGTAAAAAAAGAAACAAGTTTACAGTTGCACAGAATCATGACAATAAGAAGATTGACATTATAAACTCTGTAAAGTCGTCTCTGAAGTCTTATTCTTTATGGGATCCCTGCATTTGATCACTCTTCTTCGTATTTCAGGGCTATCTAGTTATCTTTTGTAAATATAAATTCATACGTTTTATAATGTAAAAAAACATTTTGATTATATTAAACAAATTACTTATATCCCTTTGAAGGCCTGAGCACGACCAAAAATCAGAAACAATTCCTTAAAAGATGAGATTACCCGAGAATATAGCTGATCCGGACACAAGCTGACCCCAAGACTAGCCCACCTCGATGGTCAATGACCTAAACATATAGAATAAGTATAAGTTAGTCCCACAAAACTTGGTTGGTGATAAGTTTTGAATGGCTACTTCCATATACTATAACTAGATATCAAATAATTGTAGCAGTTTATTTTGTTAAAAAAAAAATTTATACTGAACGCAGCAAAACAGGGCAGCCAGAAATCAAGTAAAGATTGAAAAGCAGGACAGCCAGAAATCAAGTATAGATTGGAAAACAGGGCAGCCAGAAATCAAGTATAGATTGGAAAACAGGACAGCTAGAAATCAAGTATAGATTGGAAAACTGGACAGCCAGAAATCAAGTATAGATTGGAAAACAGGACAGCCAGAAATCAAGTATAGATTGGAAAACAGGAAAGCCAGAAATCAAGTATAGATTGGAAAACAGGACAGCCAGAAGTCAAGTATAGATCGGAAAACAGGGTAGCCAGAAATCAAGTACAGATTCCATTGAATGAATATCTGCATTTTGCATTAAATACATATATCAATAAATCTAAAAGAAGGGAAAACCGAGCAAAATACAGATAATTTTAAGATGTTTTTTGGCATATATTTTCTCTCATGGTTAACATTTGTTGAAGAAAATCAATTTCTGAAAAATAAACAATTTAAAAAACAATTGCTTCTCCTACACCACTGTGCCAAATTATGACCCTGAGAGAAAATATATGCAAAATATATGCAAAATATATGCAAAATATATGCAAAATATTGGCAAAATATATACAAAATATAGGCAAAATATAGGCAAAATATATGCAAAATATATGCAAAATGTATGCAAAATGTATGCAAAATATATGCAAAATATATGCAAAATATATGCAAAATATATGCAAAATATAGGCAAAATATATGCAAAATATATGCAAAATATAAAAAACGCAAAATAAACGAACCGAAAGGATTAACCATCCCTAATGAGATTGAGATGATAGCTGAAAAAGTTCCTAATTCCACGGCAAACCAAGATGTGCATGCTTTCACACAATTATTCAGCAGCATTTTGCCATTTACTCCTTTTAAACTTAAGCTACAAAGAAGCGCGGCGCATGCATGTATATGTCTAGATCTACAAACAAAAGTATAAGTGAGTTGGTGAGACCAAGGCCAAGTTAAAGCTGTCTAAAATTTTAATGACTAAGTTTCAGAGTTGTCTATATCCCATTGATTCGTGACGCATGTACAGGGTGTCCCACGAAACACGAGAGTAGCAAGATGATTCGAAAGTTGTCTTTAATCTTGGGACACCCTGTAATTTACCTGAACAGAAATACTGTCTAAACTGGGGTTTTTACTCAGAAAGAAATATCCTTCTTGGAAGACAGGATTCTAAAAAAATAATAGATTAACACGAGCTAAACAAAAAATCTTTTTTTTTGGAAAATCCAAATCAAATATATGGGGAATCATGACGAGAGGAGAAACAATATAAATGAAAAAAAAAACAAAAAAAACTTTGAATTTTGATTTTGAAAGCAAATCAAGTTTTGGAAAATTATCCTTAATTAATTTTTCATTGAACACTATAAATAGCAAAATTGTCGCGGATTGTCTTTTCAAATTAAACAAATAAAAGTTGACAATTTTTTCTAGACAACAGTTTTTTATCGCCTTTTTTGGGTCTAATCGCTTTGACTTTTATTGTAACAGACAGACAATCAGACACATCAAATATAGAAGAGAGGTATAATCACCAACCTCTGAAGGACCTCGAGGTTTTGTTGTATAAGATTCAAACTTGGTGGATGGAATCCATTTCCTGAAAATATAATACTCAAACTTGGTGGATGGAATCCATTACCTGAAAATATAATATTCAAACTTGGTGGATGGAATCTATTTCGTGAAAATATAATATTCAAACTTGGTGGATGGAATCCATTTCCTGAAAATATAATATTTAAACTTGGCGGATGGAATCCATTTCCTGAAAATATAAGATTCAAACTTGGTGGATGGAATCCATTTCTTGTAAATAAAATATTCAAACTTGATGGATGGAATCCATTTCCTGAAAATATAATATTAAACTTGGTGGATGGAATCCATTTCCTGAAAATATAATATTCAAACTTGGCGGATGGAATCCATTTTCTGAAAATATAATATTCAAACTTGGTGGATGGAATCCATTTCCTGAAAATAAATTATTCAAACTTGGTGGATGGAATCCATTTCCTGAAAATATAAGATTGAAACTTAGTGGATGGAATTCATTTCCTGAAAATATAAGATTGAAACTTAGTGGATGGAATCCATTTCCTGAAAATATAAGATTGAAACTTAGTGGATGGAATCCATTTCCTGAAAATATAAGATTTAAACTAAAAATCACATCGATACCATTTAAACCTTTATTTTAGCAATCATGTGGAAAATATCGTCGTTTGTCTAGTTTTTAAAGTGTTAAATTCTCAAAATTTTATCCGTGCTACTGAAGCAAGATATCCACAAATCACTTGTATAGAGAAACCCAAATAGAAAAAACCTGTTTTAAAAAGAGAAATCATAAATATCTTATTCATTCATGATTAGACGAAGCTGTCAAGGGTATCGTTGTTCAAATTTATCATCGAACTGGTTTTCAATTAAAATTATTATTCAGTACTTCCTGATGTACCCGGGGTTGCCCAGGTGTTAAAAACACTTTAAAGGAACTGTAAAGGAAAAATGAAAGGGGGTATAGTATAGGCTGAAAGCTAATCACTTTAGCTCTCGATCGCGACCCATGAAAGTTATATCTGATGTTCCTATCTTGAGAAACTGATTTACAACTCTGTCAAATTTATACGAAAATTAATATATATACAATTTTGTATAAAAGTAGAGGGTTTAAATAGATCAAATTCAGCTAATATGCAACCAATCTGAAAACGATTATATCCCAGAGAAAGCTAATTGTAAAGTAGGTTTACTCAAATTATAATTCTATATTTTTTATTTCTATTTTTAATAGATTTAATTCATTAAATCATTTATACGTCCGAATTACTTTACCAGAAATTCCACCAATGACAGTGCAGTTAAGTGGTCATGTGATACAGGCGAAGACACGTAACCAGTATACTGCTCTCCCATTGGTGATAGTTCTGGTCGCGTGATTTAAGTTTAAGATTTTCTAAATTTTACATATATGAACTTGCGTATAATTTTAAAACAGTTTTATATCAATTTCTCGAGACAGGAACATCAGATAAAACTTTCATGGGTCGCGATCAAGAGCTAAAGTGATTAGCTTTCAGCCTATACCCCCTTTCATTTTTCCTTTACAGTCCCTTTAAGAACAAAACAAAAAACTTACTTTTCTATCCTAAATATATATCACCCCCAAGAGCTTTGTTAAATAGATAAAATTACTTTGAATCTTGTCTGAGCAGGGTTTTCTCCGATTGTGGAGAACTGATACTTAACTCACACTTGGATAAAGGGGCAGATTTTCCTAAACAAAATTATTTTCTTTTTTTGTTTATATTTGCTTTTAGAAGCTGTATTCCTCCGTTTATTTATTGTATGATATAGGACTGCAGGAGCCTGTGTACAACTCATTTTTTGTTACTTCATATTCTTTTTGTTACTTTAATTTTTTTGTTACTTCATATTTTTTTTGTTACTATTAGAGGAAATCCAAACCACGAACTACCGTAATCTCGGATCAAATTTTTATTTGATTCAATCAAAAAAGTTACGATAGAATCTGATTAAATTTTGTTATAATCTGATTAAATTTTGTTATAATCTCATTAAATTTTGTTATAATCTCATTAAATTTTGTTATAATCTCATTAAATTTTGTTAAAATCTCATTAAATTTTGTTAAAATCTCATTAAATTTGTTAAAATCTCATTTAATTTTGTTAAAATCTCATTCAAGTTTGTTAAAATCTCATTTAATTTTTTAAAGTAAAAATCTCATTCAATTTTGTTAAAATCTCATTAATTTTGTTAAAATCTCATTTAATTTTGTTAAAATCTCATTCAATTTTGTTAAAATCTCATTTAATTTTTTAAAGTAAAAATCTCATTCAATTTTGTTAAAAGTTTTCCTAAATAGAAATAGAAAGATCCGAAATTAATTGACAATTAATCAGACGACTTTACAATTGTCTTTTATCTTTGAACTAGTTGGTATTCATTTGTCAATTTAATTTTAAAAATATAATTGATGAAACGATAATCATAAAATAGTCCTGCAATTTTCCAAAAGTTGTCTACGTTTTTGTGCGTTCAAAATCACTCACAGCAGATTAGAATGATTGCATTAAAAATTGGAAAATATTCATTTTAAAATAAAAAAAAAATAAAAAATAAAATGTATCCAAAATTCTTTTTATTTTTTTCTAAAATCTTTTGTTTAAACAAGAACTTAAAAAAAATGTAGCACCCCACCCCCCCACGGGTCCCCCTCCCTCCTAGTGAATACTGATTATTAATTGTACAGAGTTAAGAATTTAGTGTTAATTCGTCCGATCATAACTCAGGAACCCCTGGACTGATTTGCCTCAAATTTAATTGTTGAACTCGGGAGACCCACGGGAATGTTCTTAGTTTTGTTTTGAGATTCTAAATTGAGTGGGTCCACTTTTATAGCGAAAAGTTAATATCCCGGTTAAAATCGTATTAGTAAACGGCGCGCGCGGTAGTAACTATGAGTACCATGTACAACGCTGGGTTCCCTATGCTAGATACCTGTATTTTGAGTTATAGGTTTCCAGATCATAGAAACCAGGATTTCTCCATGTTTCGTATCATCCAACCTAATCCATCTACAAAAAACAAACAATTAATACTATGCAGCATTTTGTATTCCTGGTTCCAGGGGCAAAATATCAACCAAACTATGTAAAAAACATATTATATCTCTAAATATAAATCTGAACTTTTGTAAAAAGAGAGATTAAAAATTCTTTATTTCCGAACTAATGCCTCATGAAACTTTAGCAGAAAAATATGTGAAAAAAAAGATAAATAGAAACTTTTCTTCTATATTCATACTTTGACCGGTCCGTTTTAGTTATTGTTTGATAATCTAAGAAAAGCAAATGCCGCAGATGGAGCAATAATTAAAAGTTAAAAATTGAAGTTAGGCGCAAAGCGCCCTGGAAGCCTAGGATTGACAAAAGAACTGAACCAACCTGTCCTCGATATTTCCTGCTAGAACTGAACTCACGGATAGAAATGTTCGTCCCATGAAATCATCCTCAGATCCAGCATCATAATCATATACCTGTACAGTGTACATAATCATATACCTGTATACCTGTACTGTGTACATAATCATATACCTGTACAGTGTACATAATCATATACATGTACAGTGTACATAATCATGTACATGTAAGTGTACATAATCATATACCCTTACAGTGTACATAATCATATACCTGTAAGTGTACAGTGTACATAATCATATACCCGTACAGTTTACATAACCATATACATGTACAGTGTAAATAATCATATATCTGTACAGTGGACATAATCATATACATGTACAGTGTACATAATCATATACCTGTACAGTGTACATAATCATATACCTGTACATAATCATATATCTGTACATAATCATATACCTGTACAATGTACATAATCATATACCCGGACAGTGTACATAATCATATACCTGTACATAATCATATATCTGTACATAATCATATACCTGTACATAATCATATACCTGTACATAATTTTATACCTGTACATAATCATATACCTGATGGGCTATAACCCAGTTTTATAATAAATAGTTAGACATTTAACTAGAAAGACAATTAACCAGTTGGACAATTTGCCAGTTAGACAATTATTCATTTAGACAATGCACCAGTGTGTAAATGGACCTTTAGACAACTCGAAAATTGACCAACTCCATATTTGAATGTTATTTAAATGAACGGTAGAAAAATTGTACAGTTGGCCGTTTAGACAGTGAACAATTTGACAGTCATGGTAACTGGACAGTTAAATAGTTGTTCAGTTGGTCAGTTGGACAGTTGTTCCTACTACATTGAGATCCAGAAAATTGCTGATTAAATTATATGAGTATTTGATGATGATACAATAGCTGGTTTTACTAGTGTCTTAAACATCCCGTAATATTTAAAATGGATCTGTGTAAACTGTACACTCTCAATCTCATTGGACTAATCATAACTTGAGTCTTAAAGTTGTCTTTTTATATCACAGTTTTCTGGTTCGTACTGCACACCTTATGAATTGCGTTGCTAACACAGAACAGAGATAAGAATAGAAGGGAAATAAGATATGAATTTGTTCAGTCCCGTTGAGCCTGATTGGGAGTTCAAAGTGTTCAATTAGTGTAGATGTTCACAAAATTTACGCAGTACATCACAATAATACAGTATGATCCCTGGACATATCCGTTACAATTTCTTCTTTTTAAAAAGTTGATGCTGAAATTAACCCAGGGGAATGTAAAGTAAAGTTAATGCTGAAATGAACTCAGGAATGTAAAGTAAAGTTTATGCTCAAATGAACTCAGGAATGTAAAGTAAAGTTTATGCTGAAATGAACTCAGGAATGTAAAGTTAAGTCTATGCTGAAATGAACTCAGGAATGTAAAGTAAAGTTAATGGTGAAATGAACTCAGGAATGAATGCTGAAATGAACTCAGGAATGTTAAGTAAAGTTCAAGCTGAAATGAACTTGGGAATGCAAGACAGGTTGTCAGAGAATTGATTTAGAGAAAATTAAATAATTTTCAAGAAAATATTTGTCCATTAAAAGAAGTTCCAGGGCCCAAAATTTTATACATTATACATTATACAGCACAAATTTTTGAATACAGTACAACAAATTGGCGAGTTTACACTTTTCTAGACCTAATTCCACTCTATACTTTAAGCTTATCTATTTTCTATTGTTGCTGACCTCTAGTTTTAAATCTAAGCCTTGGATTTCCTCTAGAGGGAATGCAGCTTTATAATTCCAGGTGGGGTCTACAGTCTTCTCAGCATACTACAGATAAATAAATGAATAAATAAATAAATAAATAAATAAATAAAACAATAGTATTAGGAGAAAAATCTGAAAAGCACCACCCCCCTTAGGTTGGAGAACACAGCTCACAGTAGAACTATGTTCATCATTGGGTGAGCACACTCAAACACCCAGCCTCCCCCCTCCCCCCCCAGCCATCTGTAGATGAGGTACTAACAGTAGGGATTAAAGCAAACCGTTTTTAGATGAGTGTATGCAATTGCATTCTCCCCAGTACTAAATGCATATTGCATAGGGCCAGATCTGAATTTAAATTTTGCGCTTCTCTGCATATAGCACCTGGTGAGAATGGATACACTCTCATCATGACTGGTGTTACGATTTAAGTATATTTAGAAGTTTAAACAGCTCAATCAACTTGCAAAGTTTTTCGCTTGTATGTTTTAACGAAAAGAAAAGCTGTCTTCAAAGCTTACTTAGGCTTCTGATAACTTAATCAAAAGCAAGAGTCTCAATCAAGTAACTTACATACTGCAATTTTACAGAATATCATTTTACATGCCTTTGCTACTATAGTGCAATTTTGCGCAATATCAATATAAAAATTTTTGCGCTAGGAGGTATATTTTTGCGCAAAAATGTAGCGCAACGAAAGCAAAAATGTGCGCTTTCTCTCCCAAAAATTGCGCAAATGTTTTGCGAATGGAAACCCTTCCTCAAGGGTAAAGTATCATTGAAGAGTCACTAGAACATTTTTCAACAATTCTTAAATAAATGATAAAAGAAAAAATAATTCATGTTTTTTAAACAATCCCTTTAAAGTAAAAGTTGCCGATCCATGGTTGTTTAAGTTTAAAGAGCACCGTATGAAGAGCTAATTTATATGAACAACCCTTAAAGGGACTGTAAGCATAATTTCAAGTGACCCTCCATGCGAAGATGGTAATGTCCGATTCACTACTGTGCCCTAGAAAGCTTTGTCTGATCGAGTATGAATTAGATATCAATGTTTATAATTTTGAAAACTGATTATTATATGTTACTTGCGCATTTCTACTGCAGGACATTTTTTGAATTCAACCTAGAGAAACGACAACATCTTCAACATTTTTTTCAGGAACGGTTACATGGGTGCCATTGTGAATTGGGCATTGTCATCTTTTCATGGAGGGTCACCTAAAATTAACCGACCTGGTTTTTGAATGAAATATTCTTTTCTCCAATGCTGAGTATAATGTAGGGATCAGACTTCCCTCCTATCAGATGTTTATCCTTCTTAACTAAATTTCTTCCCTTGGACACCATTACCTCGAGCACTCCCTTCAAATTTAAAAGCTAGTTTAGATGACATTTTTATTATTTATATATAGATCATATTTATTTTTGTAAATTTTAGAAATATGATTAAAAAGAGAAAAGGCTTCCTGAGAAAAATTGTGAAAAAAATTGTTGGCGTATATTTATTTAGGACATCCATAAAGTTGTGGTGTTCATTTCTTTAAGTACACCTTGTTCCTGTGTGGTTTTTGATATTTTTGGGACACCCTGTAACTGTGCAATAAAATGATATTTATTGGGACACCCTGTACTGAACCTGTGGTGTAGGCATAGCAAATAGCTGGTTCTCCAATGAACGAACAGACTCGATGGGAAAGTAGAAACTGAATCTATTTGGCCAGACAAACCCTCGTCGTATTATGTTATCCAGTACACTGTAATAAAAACGATAATGTTATCCAGTACACTGTAAGAAAAACGATAATGTTATCCAGTACACTGTAATAAAAACGATAATGTTATCCAGTACACTGTAAAAACCGATAATGTAATCCAGTACACTCTAATACTAACGATGATATTTTCAGTACACTGTAATAAAAAACGATAATGTTATCCAGTACATTGTAATACAAACGATATGTTTTCCAGTATACTCTAATACAAAACGATAATGTTTTCAGTACACTGTAATAGAAACGATAATGTTATCCAGTACACTGTAATACAAACGATAATGTTATTCAGTACACTGTAAAAAACGATAATGTTATCTAGAACTCTGTAATAAAAAGATAATGTTATCCAGTACACTGTTGATAAACGACATTGTTATCCAGTACCCTGTAATAAAACGATATTTTTATCCAGTGCACTGTAAAAAAAACGATTTTTATGAATTCAATTCTAAAATTTTTTAATTTAAACTGAACCTTTTAATAATATTTGATATGCCAGGTATCTCTCCAAAGTTTGCCAGTTTTCCAAGACTATAATCATACTCGGGCATCTACAAATATATATTTTGACATGAAAATTATCTTTTCACGAAAACAATTATGTAACTTTATTATATACTAGCTAAAGGGCCCGGCGTTGCCCGTGGAAAGAAAATTGAAAAAAAATGTTTTAAAAAAAGAAAAAGATTTCAATTTTTTTATCCTAAGACACCCCCCAGCCGACCGTGAGTGTCCACAAAAAATGTTAGCCCAATCGGTCCAGCCGTTTGGCCGGCATTAGGCAACATATATATCTACGAATGTCTTGTTTTATTATATAGATGACCGAAAAACTGTTATAAAAAGAATGAAAGAAAGTTTTTTTTCGCAAAAAAAATAACAAAACTAAATGAGAACCAGATATTTTCTCTTTAAAGGCATTTATCAAAAGTAAGAAACTCCCATTAACACCATGACGTAAAACTTTTTTTTAAAGTGATTAAGACATTAAGATTAATTTTTATTTTAAGATTTTTATAATAACAATCATAAGACAGAAAAATATTTCAAAATTACTAAAAATGTCCGCACTGTAAGAATTTTTTAACATTTTTTTTTTTAAGTATTACTGTATTCCAATTTTTTCCACTTTGGGATTCATGGGGCCCCAGGACCCCCAAAATCTGAAGTGAAAACAGCACCCCAACATTTATTTTTGATATTTTCAAAATAATTGGTATTAGAAATAGTCTGTACATTCTTCATGTCTATTTATTGATTCAGAATTCTGCTAATCTCTGCTTCTTTTTTAATTCTGTCTGATATTTCTGGTTTGTTGCAAGGAAGCTTAGCTCATTACATTTTTCTAAATTCAATATCTCAGCTGTTGACAGTGAACTCTTGAACAATCATGAAATAATTGCTTTTCTGGAATTTGATATTTGCTATCTCAGCTGGTTTGTAAATTGTTGAATGTTGATGACTATACTAAATATCGATATATACAATTACACAATTAATGTGAATGTTTCATAGGTCAGTTGCAGGGTGAGGAAAGAAAAAGGAACACTGCACCAAACATGGAATTTTAAAATTTTTAGGACCCAATGTCAGAATCTCCACTTATAAATAATGACAAATGTGGCTAGGAGTAGATTATCTGCAGTTGTAGTCTTAAAACTGATGTGTAAGAACATTTTGGGAAGTACTTATAAATGAGACTTTTACTTGATGCTTCTCCACGTTAGAAAGGTCCGTGGTTGATTGATATTTACATTTTTCCCATGGATTGTAGGTTTTACTTAAAAACTGGCAAACCAGACCTGTTTCTAAGAAGTGGAAGTCGAGCTTTTCCATAGCAAGCCTAGACCCAGAGAGGTAAAAAACCTCTGTTCTCTAGGGTAATACAGAGTTGACAGATGAATGCAGGCATTCCTTGTTGATTATCTTATTTTCCTCTTCAATTTCCCTCCATACCTTAAGTTTCTTACGTGTGTACGACTAACTTGGATTTGCCATTTTGCTCTGTCTCCCTGTACTCCTAGTTAATGATAGAAGCGCATCTGCAAAGACCTAGGTCCTGCTTTGAGGAAAGCTAGAGTTGAACTGCCGCACTGTAAGAATAAATATATCCTATCAGTGTGTTCAACCTATCAAACATTCTCATGGCTTGACGATTGTGATATTAACCTGAGAAAATTGGCTATCAGTGATTTTTCGTCATTGATTGAATATATTGCTGTTCCCTTCTGATTGGTAGAAGAAAACTATTGCTACAAATGCTAGCTTAAGTGAAGACAAATCATAATACATTTCTTACAATCTTTAAAGTATCCTGGGAGTTGAAAAGATCTAAAACGACCGAGCTTATATTGCTTGATTCACTTCTAGAAGAGAGGTTTCAGAGAGAATGGGTCCCCAGGGTGCCAGCGTGCACCGGCCCCACGCTTAAAATGTAAAATGTAAAATGCTAAATGGACATTAATTAATTAATCAATTAAACTCTGAAGTGAACCAAGCATAGTTTAGCTGTATTAGTTTTATTACTAAGTGTAAAGGAACTAGATGCCTGAAAAGTTAGGTGTAAGGGGCGCCCAAAGATCCCTTGTGTAGTGGGGTGTAAGGGGCACCCTGAGATCCCTTAGTTTATTTGACTGTGTAGATAGTGATAAACTAAATAATGGCAGAAGCTCAGGATCCTGATATTGATTCAGCACCTGAGGAGGAGATATGTCTGTGCTGTCAAAAAGTATTTACTAAGAGAGATGGTTGTGTCCAATGCTTTCTCTGTGAGCTTTGGGCTCATGTTAAATGCTCAGGGCTCTCATCTGAATGCATGAAAGCCCTTGGAAGCAAAAAGAATGATGGAATTGCTTGGACCTGCAGAGCCTGTAAAANTCAAGGACATCCTAAACATTAATTACATCATCAAGATCTGAAGTGAAAATTAATCAACTGAAAAACAAATATGATGAATTTATTAGTGCTTAATCTCAGTATGATAACAAGTAATAGGAGTATGGAGACCTTCCAGGAGATTTAAGTACCTGTAAAGCCCATGATCCGCATAACATGGCCACGCACGTGGCTCTCTTTGCGTGACTACTTCAAGTATTCAAGTATCAAGTATTCAAGTATCTATACCTGCATAAAGTAAAATTCGAAACCTCCAATCAAGGGCATAACATCCATTAAAGGTTTAATAGTCAATCTAAACAGAATAACAGAATTTATAGTTCAGTTTCTTAGTTGTGCTACCATAGGTACAACCATAGTTACTCTACTAGTAGCATAGATAGATGATAACAATAGTATTGCGACTAATAAACTGAGCTTATGATTGGTCGATGGTATTCTTACTTCAGCCATTTTTCATCTAAGTGACTTACGCATATATGCAGCAGAAATAATTAAAAGGAAATTAACAATCGAATCTGTTTTCAAGATAGAAATATAATGGAATCTTACTCAGTGCTACTCACTTTAATATTTTACGGGTACCGTTGTAAATGGTGCATGCAAGGTACTAATGCAAGGAAAGTTAATTGCAGTTGCGTTTACTCTGCGTACATATTGAAAACAGTTCTTTCTGGGCGGAATTTGTAAACAAGAATAGATGCATCCGTGTTCGTTTAGTATCCGAGGAGGATAAAAGCATTTAATTTTGATAATTTTGAAAATTTAGATAATTATAGTTTCCTATGACCAGAATATTTCATAGATTATTTTTTTGAAAATGGATTCCATGTCAGGCTGTGACATCCGTCTTGTGTTTACTTTTCCGCCCAAAGACAGTACACTGCAGTACAAAAAATGTGTACACCTCTGAAATAACTTTCCTTGCATTAGTACCTTGGGTGCATGTAACTCTTTTAATGGTTCGTGAGTTTCTGGTATTTCTCTGTTGTGTTGATGACTTTTATCTAATGTGTTAACCGTTTAATCTGTTGTGTTTATGAGTTTTATCTGGTGTTTTTATGGGTTTTATTTGTTGTGTTTATGGAGTTTATTTGTTGTGTTTATGGATTTGTCTGTTGTGTTTATGGATTTGATCTGTTGCGTTTACGGTTTTTGTCTGTTGTGTGTATGATTTTATCTGTTGTGTTTATAGGTTTATCTGGTGTGTTTATGGTTTTTATCTGTTGTGTTTATTGTTTTTGTTGTGTTTATAGGTTTATATATTGTGTTTATGGTTTTTATCTGCTTTGTTTAAAGGTTTTATCTGTTGTGTTTATGGATTTTATCTGTTGTGTTTATGGGTTTTGTCTGTAGAGTTTATGGATTTTATCTGTTGTGTTTATGGATTTTATCTGTTGTGTTTATGTTTTTGTCTTTAAGTGTTTTCTAGTGTTTTATTTTTGTTTTCCTGTTTATCTGGTGTTTTTATTTTTATTTTACCTTACGGTGCCACGAAAGGAAATTTTATCTGTTGTGTTTATGGATTTTATCTGTTGTGTTTATGGGTTTTGTCTGTTGTGTTTATGGATTTTATCTGTTGTGTTTATGGATTTTATCTGTTGTGTTTATGGTTTTGTCTTTAAGTGTTTTCTAGTGTTTTATTTTTGTTTTCCTGTTTATCTGGTGTTTTTATTTTTATTTTACCTTACGGTGCCACGAAAGGAAATCTGAAAAATCAAATAATTTTTAAAATTCCAAATAAAACATTGAAAAATCATTGAACACATGTTAAGATGTGAATTAAAAAGTCGGAAGAATTATGATAAAATGATATATTTTGCTATTTACATTTTTAAAGAAAATATACAGTTTAACATAGAACTTCGGAGAAAGAATTTATAAAATGTCGTTTTCCAAACTAACTGATAATGGAATACTGCAAATATTTAGTTTTTTAATTAAATAATTAAATTGAGCTCTATAAAACTGTTCTAGCATATGCCATGGCTTTTTATTTATTCTTACAATTACTGAGATTTAGGTATAATTGTGTAAAACCTATTGATAAATTGTCAAGACGACATTTTATAAATTCTTTCAATATTTCCAAAGTTTTGGGGTAACTGTGAAAAAATTCCTGCTAACCTGATGAACTTCACAATCCATGTGTTGAACACTAAAGTTTACCCGGGCATCTCCCTTAATAGATTCATTCAAAGTTTATTGCAAAAGGTATATTTTTAAGATTTTGGAAATTTCCAAGATACCCAGCATTTGGGAAATTTCCCAAATACCCAGACATTTGGGGAATTTCCCAAATATCCGGTCACTTGAGAAATTTCCAAAATCTTAAAAATAAACAACCCTCAAATACTTGTAGAAATTTAGGCAATTTCCCAAATGCTTGGTTATCTGGGTAATTTCCCAAATGCTATAGGCTTCTTGAAAATTCCCCAAATATCCAGTCATTTGAAAAATTTCCCCAAATCTTGAAAATATACCACCCTCAAATACCTACAAAATTTCTCGGAAATTTTCTAAATGCCTGGGTATTTTGGAAATTTCACAAAAACCTATAGGTAAAATTTCAAGTTTCCATTTTGTTAGCCGGAAATTTCAATCCAATTTTAGATATAGAAAGAAATGTTAAAATATTAAAAGTTAAAAGTTATAAATTGACATACATTAAATACGCATTTCGTCTATAATTATATATTCACACATATTTTACAATAACAAATTAGTTTTTATTTTTCAAGAGGGTCATAGGACTGGCTAAGAACTTGTGACAACGATTTAAATACAAAAATTTACCAATGCCAGATCATAATCAAATCCGATTTTTTACAAACTAAGGCCCATAAAACTAGGGAATGGGAAGATGTCTAAAATAACATAACTATAGTGGTCAGCGTTTATATTAATACAACGAAGTCGAAGTTTACAAGTAAACAAAGAGAATCTGTTATTTGGCAACTTCTCTTTGTTTCCATGTTCATGTGTTTCCGTGCTGCTTAAAAGCTTGGTAAAAATAAAAATTTGAAATAAAAAATGTGTTTCCATTGTATTGATACTTACAACTAGACGATTGTAACATCTGTGAGAAAACTCATTTTAGGGAGGGAGGGGGGAGTATTTTTTTTTTTACCTGATAAATAATCTCAATATCCATCACAATCTCGTCTCTACCAGTATTCCTCTCATAAACCTTGGAAATTATTTAGTTGATAAAGAAGTTTTTGCCAGAAACTTAATTTTTTAATACATATATCTTTGCAACCTAATAGTGTAAACACTTTATATTTAAAACTTAAACTATTTTTAATTTACCATTATTCCTCCAACCCTGGCTGGAATAGATCCCAGTATATAACTCCCTTTAATTTACCCTTATTCCTCCAACCCTGGCTGGAATAGATCCCAGTATATAACTCCCTTTAATTTACCTTTATTCCTCCAACCCTGGCTGGAATAGATCCAAGTATAACTCCCTTTAACTTGAAGTTTGAAAGCTCCTCAAGTCTTAAACGGTTTAGTATTTCCTAAAATCAAAATTTTATTGAGGGGATTTTGAAAACGAATTGCACAGTAGCAACAATGTAAAGCTAATCCTCAAAAAAACAATACCCTTAGAAAATTTGTCAAGAATGAATGATATATTCATGATTTCTCTTGAAAAATAAGTTATTCTAAAATTGTGGTAGAGACTACTTGCTGATTTTTTATTGATTGACAACGGAGGAAATTAAAAATTGAGCTAGATAAACGACCATATCTTCCACATTTTTTATCAGATGAAAGGTTTAAAGGGTTCGGGGCTGTTTATCGGACATGGCCTTCTTTTAACGAAGGGTAACACAGCCAAAGCTTGGTGATAAATGAATAAAATTGAATCTCATGAGAATTAACTAGCAAACCTTAATCTTAGGTTCCACAAGCCGTTTTGCAATCTGTTGAGAGATTGTTCCAATGTTGGGCCAAACTTTCTGAAAAAAATAAATATAAAGAGCTTAAAATATGGTTCACAAAAAAGTATTTTTTATCAAGAATCATGATTGGTAATGGTAAATTCTTTTCCAAGCAAAGCAATGTGTCTTACTGGAGCAGTTATCAAAAATAGTTATCAAAGGTTCTCAAAAATATTCTCATGTTATTTGGTAGAATTTTTAAAACCATCGCGATCTATTTTTTCAATTTATCACAAAAGTTCGATTTTAAGTCATGTATAATGATATATATAGCAAAACAATTTCATAATATTTTTTATCAGTTTTTAAAACTAGTTTCATAAGTGGCAAAAGAAAAAATAGGACGATTTTCGGCAATTTTTTTTTTAATCCTGATTCATAATAAAAATACCTTTATTATGATATTAATCCACTCGACNAGGATTTCTGTCCAGTAAACGTTCACTAGGAAATTGCCTTAGTGAGAGAATAAAATGTTAAAAGTAAGAACATAATAATAGTTCTCGTTTTGCATCATGGTAACTTAGTACATTCTCCCATTCCAATACTCCTCTAAAATACTTCTACTAAATTAATATTTTTAATTTATGAGCAAGTGTTTTAAAGAACTGTCCTAGAAATTCTGCACATTTACATTACTTTTCAAAAATTGGTGAACTCCTTTCCCAAAATTTGTGAACACTCCAATTTAAACAATTTTCCCAAAAATTCTTGAACACTCCATTTTGACTATTTGCCCAAATTCTTCAAAACTCTCTTTTAACTACTGTTAAAAAATTTGTGAACTATTAAACTATTTTCCAAAAATTCGTGAACACTCGACATTTAAACTATTTTCCCAAAATTCGTCAACACTCCTTTTAAATACCTGCCCATATTCCTGTAGAGGTAGAGTACAGAGAAGGAAATAATCCAAGCATAACTAAAAATCCAAATATTTTAAAATCTAAATAAAATCTAAAAAGACCTATTTACCTAATGAGAACCAGAAAACTCTGGAAAAGGAAGACGACTTTTAGGCTACAAGTTATGAATAGTCCAATAAACGTGAGACACAACAATTGTGCAGTGTAATCAGACCCATTTCACTTAATAGGTGAGGATATAAAAGCTATTTGCTTTTTAAAACATTAAATACACTTCAGAATTACTTAAATGTCGTCATCCTATTCTACAGTTTTCTGGTTGTCTCTGTAGTACCGAATTTAATGAAGTTGAAGTAGGTCGCTGAACAACCTACCGTAGTTACAGATCCTGCATCATCGTTTTAAGAATACGATACGGGTTTAACAACCAATTAAATGATGGGGCAGCGGCAAAACGCAGTTACGCGCACAGGTCTCAATGAATTAAAAAACAGAGAGAGAATCAGTTCTAGCCGTGGCGCTCGGCCCCCTAGCCTCAGAAAGTGTGTCTTAACCCAACCTAACCCTAAAATATATACTAATCTCTCTCTTCTTATATATCATTGCGGCATGTGCACGTAACTTCGTTTGGCCGCTCCCTAAATAGTGGGGTACCACAAAAATATTGGCCCGAGCTCGAATATTAGCAGTAATATAAATACAAGCTAAGCTCATCATTTTTAGACTAAAACCTACAACTTAAACAGAAAGTTTACTTTTTCAGCATTTAATTTTATACGAAAATGAAAACCATGACAAAAATCATCGAAAATACGTTAAAAAATATTGTTTTGAAGCTTTTTTATTTTAAATTTAAAAATTATTTATTTTTCATAAAAAGTTGGGAGCATTGCTCCTCGACAAATTATCCTACAGTACAGTGATTGTGTAACAATGTAATTTTGTTGTTGAATTTGTTAGATTTTTCCTGAATCCGTAGTATCCGAGGCAGAAGAGAAGAGTCCATTCTAGGAACTTGAAGAGAGATGGAAGATATTCATCTAGGATACTCTTCAAGCATCAATATTATTCTTCAAATGCAGGGGTGTATATTTTCTCAAGAACCACCCCTGTTCGTTTTGATTCGAAGTGCCCACCTACTTTTTAAAAAAGGACATGCTCGATTCACAATGGTACCCTTGAAACCTTTTATCTGATCAATGCTCGATTTACACTGGTAAACCTTGAAACCTTTTATCTGATTAATGCTCGATTTACAACGGTACCCTTGTAACCTTTTATCTGATCAATGCTCGATTTACAATGGTACCCTTGAAACCTTTTATCTGATCAATGCTCGATTTACAATGGTACCCTTGAAACCTTTTATCTGATCAATGCTCGATTTACAACGGTACCCTTGAAACCTTTTATCTGATCAATGCTCAATTTACAATGGTACCCTTGAAACCTTTTATCTGATCAATGCTCGATTTACAACGGTACCCTTGAAACCTTTTATCTGATTAATGCTCGATTTACAACGGTACCCTTGTAACCTTTTATCTGATCAATGATCGATTTTCTACCATGAGTGTTTTGAAAATTTCCTCAATTAGTTCTGCAGCAGAATTCAGCAAGTATCTTGACTGGAGAAAATCAAACATGAAAAATATGAAATTTTTATCAGACCAATTGCTTTTCAGGGTGCAGTTGTAAATCGAACAGGAGAGTTGACAACAGCAATTACATTGATGTAAATATGATAATAATATTCTGTTCCTTAGGATTATCTAGTAGTTGGGATTGGAGCTTGAATGCCGGGTTGGCTGGTAGTTTGAATATATCCTGTGTATTCACTTTTATATTTTAAAATCTCAAAATACAGAAAGCAGAGTTTCTTAATGAAACACAGTATCGAAATTTTCTTGAATGGGGTCAGGAAGTTTTGTAGATACCAATTTAGTGAGAAATATTATTTTATGTGGTTTCTTTAGATTTTTGTTTTTGATTTCCTAAATTAAAATCTACGCAAATGTATACACCCCAAAAATGGAAACTCGAAAGTTTTGTTCAACGATACTCTTTTTAATTTACGTAACACTCCCTTTAAGGATGAATAATTTTCGCCCAGTCTCTGAAATCGCAACTTTTGCGGGAAACCCTGTAGGGACTCTTTAAAAAATCAGCCAACCGCCCATAAAAACCTAAATATAAATGCAATCATAAAAGATTTCAAAATATCGTTCTTAAAGTTATGACATACATGAAAGCACCATTGACCTACATTTAAAAACCTTTTTTCATGATATACATTTTTTTACATAAAAAAATTCGAAATATTTTTTTTAAATTTTTTTCAATATTTTTTACAAATAAAATTTTCACAGACAACGCCGGTCCCTTCAGCTAGTATTTAATAAATATCTAATAATAAAAACGTAAATACAAGTTTCCTTGAGGATTTCTTGTTTCTGTTCCGAGGATAACGTAGACCCAGGTTCAGCCTGTAATTAAAGGGAATGTACGTGTAGTTTCAAGTCCCTTGATAAAGTATCATGTCCCATTTACAACGGTATTTTTAAAAGTTTTGTCTGAATTAAAAAATAACCATGTTTTTTAAAGGGACAGACCGGCTTTGTAAAGTAGTTGAACTGAGTATGCAGTGTTGAGGACAAATTCTTTAGGATTCATTTGAGACATGTAAAACTTTTTAAAGGTCTGTAAATCCTGAGTTTTAGCGCAAAGTGCGTTCAAATCGTATTATAGCATTGATTTATTGACAAATTTCTTTTGGGAAATATGTTCCTAACCATCTAATTAGATTACTGTATAATTTTTACTTTATTTTTCGTCGTCGTTATTTAGTAATTTAAAAAATCCCGATTCTGAAAACGTATAAACCCAAAAATACGATTCTGAACGTTGACTTTGCGCTCAAACTTAGGATTTACAGATCTTTAAAAGGTTTTATATATATATCAAATGAATTCTAAAAAAATTATCCACAAGACTGCATACTCAGTTCAACTACCTTAGATAGCCGGTCTGTCCCTTTAAACTAATTTTTTTCATTTGGATTTTATCTACTATAAAAGTAACTTAGTGCATTACTTCCCTCAGAAACAATGGAGAAAATAAACAGAATTTAACACTTTTCAGGCTAGAAAACCCCGGTTATCTCGATGAGAAAAAGGTTTCAAGGCTACCGTTGTAAGTTAGGGATGCTCCTCTCTTTAATTACGGAATCACTTAAAAATACAAGGAATTAGGTCCCTCATCAAATTTCGCACGGAGGGTTTAAACTAAAACGACCAACCTTCTTTATTCAAGATATCACAACTCTATGTTCCATAAAATTTCATACAGAGCGTCCCATATCATATTAGATTATCTCCAAGTTTCAACGCCAAAATAAACCCATAATACTCGAAAAACATATCATTTTCCGCAAGAAAATTCTTATATTAACCTTAATCAATTTTTCAAAATGATTCCTTCTCCTTAAATTTTCTGATTAGTCCCGAAAATCGTTATTTAGACCGATTGACGATCTAATATGATTAGGGACACCCTGTAGATAAAACTGAGGCCGAATTTAAAGAATTTGAGCCGCTTAAATTTAAACCGCGGCTCAAATATGGTGGGTTCCATTTAAAAACGTATCATTGCTTCAAGATTTAAGCCGGCCCTCAATTGAAACCGGTTTTTGGCGGATTTAAGACGCGGCTCAAATTCATTAAATTCGGACACCGTTTACTCAAACCTTTGGCATGAATTTTTGTTAAAAAAAAATAAGTAAGAAAACTCACGGCAAACTAAATTAAATTAAGTGCTTAAGATTCCTTTTATTAAAGATCTATATTGAGAAGAACTGACTCCGAATTAAATGTATTTGAGCCGCGTCTTAAATCCGCCAAAAACCGGCTTCAATTGAGCGCCGGCTTAAATCTTGAAACATTTAATACAAGTTTAAGTGGAATCAACTGCTCAAATTCTTTAATTTCGGCCTCGTGAAATGTTTTGAATTTCCATCCTGTAACCGAATTTTGCTTTTTATACTTGAGAGTAAAATCAAATGAAGAGAAGCTACGAGGTCACGAAGTCGTATCAGTAGATTTCCTTCTGTCTAGTTAACTTATTGAACTGACACACAGTGTTGCAATTGTAATATTATACTATTCACTGCTTGCTGCACTGTAAGTAGAAATCCTAACATTGTTTTCTATAATCCTAACCTAATTTTCGATAACAATAACATGGTTTTCGATAATCCTACATTGTTTCCAACATTCCTAATATTGAGTTTCATAATTATAACATATTTCTCAATAATCCTGACATTGTTTTCTATAATCCTGACATTTTTTCTTTCATCCTGACATTGTTTTCGATAATCCTAATACTGTTTTCGATAATCCTAATATTGTTTTCGATAATTTTAACATTGTTTTCGTTAACAATAACATTGTTTTCGATAATCCTAACATTGTTTTCGATCATCTTAACATTGTTTTCGATAACCTTATCATTGTTTTGGATAATCCTAATATTGCTTTCCATATTCCTAAAATTGTTTTCGATAATCCTAACATTTAT